TCACTTCATTTTCAGTGAAGCCGCTCACAGACCGAAAGCCTTCACACTGCTTTTAATCAACTCTTCTTTCATTAACTTAAAAGTACAGAAAGCTGCTTAGAGCCTCTTCATTTATCCACCTTAACCAGTAAGCTGTTTTGGTGAGGTGTGATTAGCCGCCGTAGCTGCTGTTACCATCCAGAATTATAGAGTCAAGCTCTGTCAGCGCTCTGGAAAAAGACAGGTTGACTGTGTGACCCAGAATCGGTTTGGGAATTTAATATTTAAACATCATTAGATGCTTTCTCAGATTTTTGTCCCTCCATATCCTTTGTCCTCTGTCTATGAAGCTGCATGTGCAGTTCTGCTTCAGTACCTTTGGACAAAAATCAATATTTTATTTTTTATTACAATGTCTTTGTAGTAGGATGCAAATTATAGAAGAACGTGTATTTTAAATTGTTCAGTGAAACTTGGTTTTAGTTTGTTTTAAACACAGCTGGAAGAGGAGAATATGTACATTGTAATTCCTTGCAATGGTGTTTATATTCCCTGAACTTATTTAGGACACCAGTCCACCACCGGGTGTAACAATACATGCAAATACAGACATCATACATGTGTAACTGCTTTTCACCACTAAAAATGTAGAGCAAAAGAAGAGATACTGTTGTCTTTCTTACAGGATTGGAGTGTTTTATCTGACTGTCGCACTGTCAGATACTATCCATCTAATCAAAACTTAATAAAATACATTGGAATTTATTCTGATAAAAGAAGTTCAAAGGGTGTTAATACGTGTATTTTTAAACTGATAAACAATGACTAATATGTGTAATTATAGCAAAAATAACAAATTGTTTTCTTTGAGCTTGTTTCTTTGACAGTGACATTGTCTGTCTGTCTGTCTGGATGTGATTTCTAGAAGAAATGGAGGAAGCATCCGAGGAGCATGAATCCCGACTCAGCTGGTTCGCTGACTCGCTCCTCAAACCTCTAGCTACAGGTTATTCAGACATTTACCTGCAGGGGGCGCTGCAGGCTGTTCAGTTTTATCTTGCCTGCCTGTTTTCTCCTCTTTTTTTGTCCTTTAATGAGAGCTTCCAAAACGCAGATGTGGAGTAGAGTTCTCTTTAATGTGCTCAGCATGAATCTGAAGCTCTCACATATGTCTGCATGCAGGATTTTTTTTTCTTCTTTGCCTCGCAGAGCACTGTGACTGTTCTTTTTCCAGGATTGATCCCAACTGCTTCTGTTTGCTGTCACTTTGTTTTGTAGTATGGCTCAGGTTGGCTGGGTGCCTTCATTTATGATTAGGAACGACCAAAAACAACTTGGAAGACACAATTGCCTCCTTTCTGACTAACAACAGCTGCCCTTCGTCGTCTCTGCAGAATGTTCTGTTGTCTGCGAAACAAACTAACCGCTTCTTTCCTCACTCCATTCCTCTGCCTCCCTGCAGAGTCGGACCCCAGAGCAGAAGCATATGTGGAGGGAAAGGACCAGCTTGGAGGCTGGTTTCAGTCCTCGCTGCTCACCAGCGTGGCCGTCAGGAACAAAGCGCCCTACAAGTGAGTGTCCCGATGAATGAATCCAAGTAAGAACTCCAGAGATCAAGTTTCATCTCTTCTAAATGAAATCCACCTGTTGTAGATCTCTGGTGGTCCACGGATTTGCAGTCAGTGAGAAAGGAGAAAAGATGTCCAAGTCTCTGGGGAATGTTGTGGATCCTGATGAAGTCATTAACGGAAAGGAGGTGAAATGAGAAAAAAAAGATCTATTTCAACTTTCCATCGGAATATATTTGGCTCTTTTTCAAATTATTTAAATTTATGTTATTGGTGGATGAAATGTAATTGTATTTGTATGAAGGTAAAGACAACAAATTTCAAATAAGGACACCAAAACAAAGAATTAGAAACTGGGATTCATTTTGTTTACTAGCATTTATTTGTTTTGTTTTTTATAGTCACAACTCTGTCCTTCTTTATTCACTCAGTTTATTGCTAACTTATTTAGCAATAAACTTCTTTGTGTCGATAATGATCAGATTGGATAATCTCTTGTCTCTCTCAGGACGGCAGCGTACCGGCGTACGGGGCAGATGTTCTGCGCTGGTGGGTCGCAGAATCAAACATCTTCTCCGAAGTCCAGATTGGACCCAGCGCCCTTAACTCAGCCCGCGACAGCATCAGCAAGGTACCAGAGGGATGTAACCTTCTCAAAGCCTTTCTCTCTGCGCCTCCTCTTCCTCATTCCTCTGACTGGTTTTCATCTTCCAGTTGAGGAACTCGCTCAGGTTTCTGCTCGGCAACCTGCAGGGCTTTGACCAGCGCACGCAAGCCGTGGACCCCCAACAGATGTACTATATCGATCAGTACATGCTGCACCTGCTGCGGGAGTTCAGCATAAAGGTGTGTTGAGGTCGGACTCTTCTTGACATTTTGCTTCCATACTAGCGGCTTGTGGTTATTCTAAGTGGTCTTGATGCTCGTTTCTTTGTCCAGATTACAGACGCCTACAGCGAGTTTGATGCTGGTAGAGTGATCCGTATCCTCCAAGCCTTCATCTCCAGAGACTTGTCCAGTTTTTACTTCAGCATCATAAAGGACAGGTGATTGATTACCTTCCTCAACAACATAACTGCATATTTCCACTCTTGCATTTTTTTCTTTATTCCTCCTTTGTTCAGGCTGTACTGCAGTCCGGAGGACTCGTTGGGCAGGCGATCATGTCAGACTGCCTTAGAGGAAATTCTGGATGGCGTGACTCGATCTGTTGCTCCTATTCTGCCTCACCTAGCAGAAGAGGTCTACCTCCACGCTCCAGGACACGACAGTATGTGTAGCGAAACAGTGTAAATATTAGCGATCCGATTGTTTCTAAGCAAGAGCTCTTTTGCTGCAGAGGCGGAGACGTTATTCAGAAGCGGGTGGATCAAAAGCAGCTCCGTGTGGCGGCGCCCGGGCCTGGAGGAGGCTGTGGAAGGAGCCTGCGCCATTCGGGACTCCTTCCTGTCGTCGATTCCTGGTAAAAATGCCAGCCAGTTTGATCTGACGGTTGCCATCGAACCGGGACTCCTGTTTGAGCTTATGGAGGTAAGAATCACTGGAAGTCTCAAAAAAAAAAAAATATATATATATATATAGGCCTCACTTTAGAGGACAACATTTTCCAGGCCTCCCTTCCTTAACAATGTGGTTAAGTAAGGAGTTTAAATTAATTTTAATACAAAAGATAGAAAAAAAAACAGTATTTGTTTTCTTTTTGTGTCAGTAAGAAAACATGTACCACTTGTCATGTTTGCCTTCCTGATAAAGAATCAAAGTACTTTGTAAAAGACTACAACTCATTGAAATGATGGATGGATAATTAGTGGCCAACATGCTCTAAAAGATTTATGGGGATAGTGTAATAAAACGGTTAGGAAGAAGTGATTATAGCCAATGTGGCAGTCCACATTTTTAAATATGTCATTAATTTTGTTTGAATATTGTAGAATTTGTGTCAATCAGTGCTTTAATCAAGGAGAGGATGCTGTAATTGTAATTTTACTAAAAGTAAAAAAACATTTTTACTTTGTTCAAGAGTCATAGGAAGAAATCTCCCATACATAAGATTTTTTTTTTATTGACTAATTATAAAAAACGATGGCTTGACTCAATTGTTTTAAACCAAGCCATCCTCTGATCCACCTGCAACTTCTGTAAATCATCTGCATTGGGTCAAACTCACCTGTTTCTCATCTTTTTCTCAGTCTCTCCAGGAAGAGCCCAGCTCCACCGACTCCCAGCTGGCTGAGCTGATGATGGCAGCGCGAGTCAACCTGACCAGCAAACTGCCCCGCGACCTGCATCCAGACGCCCTGCTGAGCCGCGGCACCTTCCTCATCAACCTGGAAGGTGAGATGAGTCCAGCACAAAAGTGCTGATAGCTGCATCGCTTTAAGCTTGTAAAGCGGCGTTGATCAATAGACGTTTTCAGTTTTTCTTTGGATGAAATGGAAATGAAACAAATCTTCCAAACAGGAAGCCAACTACGCAAAAATGAAGACATTCACACTTTATTGCAAAAAGGGAAATTAAAAATGATTTCTCCTGTCAGAGCTTCTGTACTAGATTGCGCCTGACGGCAACATGTTGTGTATTTTAGGTGGCGTAATTCGTGAGGACAGCCCCTACAGCATCGCTGTGATGCCCACGTCTGCGGCGCGCTGCCCGCGATGCCGCCGCTACACCTCAGAGTCTGCAGACTGTCTGTGTCCACGGTGCCAGGCAGTCGTCTCACATGCCGGCTGACACGTTTGTTACCAGGACAACCCGTGCACACGTCAGGATCAAGAAGTTGCTTTGCACTCCCAGTGGGAACGCTCGCCCTGGCTGTTTATCAACTTCAGCAAAGGTTTTATATTAAATCAACAAACCATCATTGCAGATTTAAAATAATCCAAAGACTCAAGCTGTAGCTTTTCAATGTGCTCATGTTTCCTCACTGAACTCAAACCAGAAATGCTGAAATCTGCTGTAAATAGTTGGGCGATAAGAAGGATGGGGTATGAGTGCTCCTTTAAATGTGTTGATGCTAAATATTTCACTACAAGTGTCACTATGTGACTATAGCAGGAGTGTATACTGGATAGAAGATAGCATGGGGGAGTTCCTGTATAAATCTACCTTTGTATAATAAAATCAGTTCCTTCTTTTGCACCATTGCAAATGCTAGGATGTGCTACAGAGAGTTTTGTTCTCTTATACGTTGGGTAAGCAAGCTAATCTAGTCCAGCTTTTGAGAAATTTCTTTATTCTGTATCAGATCCCTGCTGGACATCAAATTACAGAATACCAGATGCGTCTAATACGGAATTGTCTGCATATATAAATAAATATAACATCCTTCTCTTCATTTATGGTACACGGGTTGCCTGTGCGAAGGCCGAAATGACAGTTTCAGACCCAGACATAGAATGTTACATTTTTACTAATGTGACATTCCCTGATCCTCAACATAACTCATCCTGAAAACACAATGCACAAATATTTAATATCATGAATGTTACATGCACAGAAACCTGATGAGCTAATAAAACAAAAAGTTAAAAGCCATTAACACTGGACTGAAGTCGGAATCAACATGATTTAAATGATGAAACATGGATGATGGTGATGATTTGTAATGTTCAGCTGTGGAGTTTTAGTGCCATGTCAGTGGAAATCAGTCCTCCGTGGACAGAGAGAGGACGTCCACAGCTTCCAGCAGGTGCAGGGCCAGGCTGTACTGGGCGTGGTTCTCTGGCAGCATTTCAATCAGACGGCTGACCAGTCGGGTGGTCTTAGACAGAGAGACCAGGGGGCATCTCAACTCGCTGGGATCCTGCAGCATACAAGATCAAGTCAGCCTCCCATTCAAGTTAACTCTTATGAGAATTATTCGATGTCAAAGCCAACTGAATTTGACTAGTAGAGCCAGAAATAAAAGCATTTCTTTTCCCCTTTACCATGTGAAACTTGGTCAACTAAATTCAAAAGTGGCTTTTTTCAACTGACATATTTTGGTCACAAAGATTGTGCGTTTGATCACGTAGCTGAAGAGCCACAATATGAGACGCATAGATTGATGTGTGGTTTTATAGAGGTCAGCCTCGGTACACAGACACCAAAGACTCTAACTGGAAGCTTCAACATTATAAAGCTCCTACTGACTTATAGCCTTCAACTCTTTAAGCTGTAAGTTGGACAGCCTAGTTAAAGGGTCTCATGATATGCTGCTTTAGTCTGCTACAAGCCGCCGTGACCGCAGCAGGCAGAAATAACACACGTTGGCGACCTGTGCAGGGTGAAACCCGCCTCTCGCCTGCTGAAGGCGGGCAGCTGCCATTGTCTTACCATTGCCTTCAACCAGGTGCAGAGGGTTGGAGGCAGGCGGGCAAGCAGCTCCATGGCAGCCTGGGTCTGGTTCTGATTGTGAAGCAGGGAGTAGCTGAGCCTCTGACCGGTCAGAACCAAGAGATGGGAGCCCAGAACTTCCTTATCTTCCACCTGCAGAATCGCCTAGAAGGCAACAGCGAGAGTTGATGCATTTTAGATGCTGAGGTTATTTCTCTATATAATATCCTTGCAGGAACATAGAAAATAAATGCAGAAATTGTTAGTTTATAAAACTGAACCTGATCCTAATCATCCAAAATTCAAATGTTCGCCAAGCTCAAATGTCCTGGGTCCTCAGTCCTTTTGGTAAGTTTTTCAAACATGTTACATTTACAATAAATTTAACAGTTTTTATAACAGTCAGATTGACTGTTATAAAAACAGGCAATTGACTTGTATCGAAGGATAGATGGATAGATAGTTGGATGGGTTGTGAAGATGGAAGGATGGAATAAAGTTTGGACAGAAATGATCTTCCGTACTTGCCGAGAGCTGGAAAATTCTTTACTCAAGTTTCACTTTTCTAGATTTTGTCAAACAGTTTAGGGCCCCTGGTTTTAGATTAATATCCACAAACCTTTAAAATGTTGTCTGTGGTTTCCCGATTATTTATTTAAAAAGATTAAAAGACAATCTTGCTTTTTGAAAGGCAAATGTTTAGAAATATGGGAAATGTCGGCCATAACAGAATATCACTCACCTCCTCAGCTCGCAGGTCGAGGCCCTGGCTGTAAAGCTCGCAGACGAGGTGCCGGCGCAGGATGTCTGGGTTGACCTGCAGCAGGGATCCCAGGTCTATGCACAGGGAGGGCCACCAGTCCGCTTTCGGTCCCTCAGAGGGCAGCGATGTGGAGGCAGCTGCTGGGGAGGTGCAGGAAGGGTCGTCTATCGCTTGCACCCATCCAGTCAGCACCCGCAGGAGGAACTTATCCAGAACAGGAAGTATGAATGATAACAGACTTCAAAGATAATTGATCAAAATCATCCTCTACATTTCATTCCACCACTCACTTCCTGTCGTAGTGAGACCAAGCAAGGATCCATGTCTCCACTGGGCATCAGCTGGATGGTGGTCAGATCTCTGAAGAAAGCATTCTTACCCTAAAAAAGACAAATATACGCTGAGATGAACAAAATCTAAGACGAGGACCTGCTGCGTTCATGTGTGCGCTCACCTTGCTGTCAAACAGACTGAGCGGTTTGACTTTAACGCTGAAGCTCATGGCAGCGTGCAGCAGCGACGCCAACAGCCAGTGGTGCTGCACCAGAGGGTAGTGAACGCCTCTCTGCTCCAGCGCCAGCTCAGCTATGGAAGCGGGGCCCTCGGCTCCGCTCCACACCTCCTCCACGGAAAACCCTGGAGCTGGAATCTCCTCCATGGCTGAGTCCGCCTGCAAGCATCCACCCACTTTCAGTAAATCCAGCGGCTTCACCGGGCCTACATATGCATTCACAGCAGAGCGGCATGCGTGAAACCCAACACACCTCCACGTGCATCCTCATTGTGAGGCCTAATTAATATTCTTTTACCAGGCGTTGTCCACTCTCCATGCTTCGCTTGAGTTCTTTTCATTTACTTACATAGAAAGGTATAAAAGACAAAGAGCTCTGATTCTTAACCAGTAATCCAGTCACCTCCATGAGGATCTGCAGCAGCTGGACGCAGCAGCTCAGGAACGACGTCATGGCTTTGTCTCCGATCCCAACATCCTGACAACAGAAGCATAATTCCTCAGTTTGTCAACCTAAACACTGAATATTGTGTTGCGCCGAGACAAACTTACCCGTCGACATAAGCGATCTTTTGGTGCTTTCCCCACCTTAAGAAACAAAGCCTGTCATTTTGGCTGAAATAACGTATATTTAGGCCACAGCAGCCTGTAAGTTTGTGTCTTACCTTCTCCATGAGGAAAGCAGCTGCTGAGAAACGCTTGACGATGAAGGTACTCCACATCATTGTGGAAATACCTGGAAAGAATCATTGGATTTACATGCAAGAAGTTTGGAAAAATATAGCAGGAGACATCAAATGACTAAATGAATATGAAGATTTCCTGTGTATTATTGATAAGAAAAAGCACTAACCTAGTTGAATGTGAGGACTGGTGATCAACTTTAAATGTTCCACAGCAAAGAGTAAATATCGGCCCTCCTGCACAGTGAAAAACATGTCAGTATATATACATATAATTGGAGTTATCCTCATTCTTCTGTATTTAAAACAGTTGGGAGCCTGACTACACATTTTTGTTCCATCTAGAGATGATCAAAGGCATATTAGTAAAAAGAAAAGAATGCAATAATGTATCCACTGAAGAGAAAATCTGTCTTTTTTTATGCTTTATTTCAAAACGTTGATCACGGAACCTTTCTGGTTCTCTCCCAGGCAGTCAATGACATTCATTGGGAATGTACTGAGAAGTTAGATGATAAGCTTGATCTGCTGGAGACCAGCCGGTCAGAGACTCAAAAACAACCAGGACACCCTGACAATAAGGCTCTTTGTTTTAGACTCTGTTGCTGAGTAAAGACGACTCAAAGGTAAACTATTTCCAGGTCCAGTGAGGTGTGACTGAAAGTAAATACTAGAATCAAAGCTTTGTCAGAAAAAGAGTTTGGCGTTCTACCATTCAGTGATTTTTAATCATTTGAAGAACAGGGGAAATCATTTTGTGTCACCTTTATGAAAGTGTACGATTCAAAAATAAAGCTGGTATTCCCTAAAAGCACCAGTGTAAAATCAGAGCAGTCAGTGTATCTGTGCACCTCTGGGTCTTTGTTCCATTGCACTACATATTCCCAGCAGCAGTGGGCGAAGAGCAAGTCAGGAGACAAAGAATCTGGAAACCGCTGACAAACCGCCAACAACAGCTCTGAGAAACACGGACAGAAAACGTGTTATAATATGAAAATCCATAAGTAATCTAAAATCTGTATGAAATATCTCCTCTTTGCCACCTGCTGTCCTGTCTGCCTCCTCCTGGCAGTCCTCTGCCTCTTCTCTTTCCTCTTTCTGCTCCTTTTGGTCACCTGTATCTTGAGTTTCTTTCCTCTGGAGAATTTTCTTCAGTCGCTCCGGCGCCATGTTCTGCCTGAACACCCACTTGGAAACACTGTCTGCAATACCACCTTAAAAGACAAATATAAGGAGGAAAACCCAAGACATTTAAAAAAAAAGCAGTTCTGACCCGTCCCAGCAGTGAATATTAAAAACAATACATGAAACACTTGTCATTCATAAGGCCATATATCTTCACATATTCTTCTACTGAAAATCATTCAACAAAAAAACTCCATCATCCCTTCCCCGTGTCACCTGTGCCTCCCTCCTGCAGCGTTTTGATGGAGCACTGAACTACAGCTCCCCCTGCTGTGGCCTTAGGAGAAGGCACCAACAGAAGAGCTTGCAGGACCAGAACGTCCTCCAGCTGACGGACACACACCACCCACTGCTCCAGCTCCAATGACACGGCCTCCCACTCGGACTGCAGCTGTAACCCAGCAGAGCAAAGCCCAAACACTGAGTGTTTCTCTGAACGCCTCATAATCTTACAGCTTTCACATCTGTTGCTGTACCTTGCTGTCAGCCCTGCTTGTGATGCTCGCCTTGGCGGCACGGTGAGCGACTAAAGCAGCAAGTAAAGCGGCAGCAGCGTTGTGAGACTGGATGCATGTGAATCGGACTTGCTGCCACCAGGGGGAGACAGACTGTGGATCCCACGACTCCTCGACAGCACCTAAAAACAAAGGAAAGAAAAAAATATCACCTTTGTTTTTTGAAGCTATTTCCTCTACACTCTTTGATTAGAACACAAACCGTCCATGTTGCTAAGTGCGATGAGCAGTGTGTGCAGGTTTCTGACCGTTTCCACTGGCTTCTGAAGCACTTCCTTCTCCCTTTGCAGCCACACACTCATTAACAAAGACTACAGGTGTAGAAAACAGATATTACCAAACCCTGGAAAAGTAAATGACATTTACATTTCTGACTTCTCCTTCAGTGGGACATAATCGTACCAGTAGCTGCTGTGGGCTGATGCCAGCCAGCTGTAGTGTGTCACACACTTTATGGGTGGGACTTTTACCACATAAACAGCCCCAAAACATAAAATTTCCTGTAAAGAACAAACAACAAAGGCTGCATTAAAAACATGACTTGAGCAGATCAAGCAGTATTCACAAACTCACAAAGAGGTTGAACTTGCCAAGAGGAAGTTAATCTGATTTAAACACCAATAGTTCTTTAGGTATTTTGAAATTCTTGTTTGTATTTTGACAACTTTTTTTTTTTACACATTTTAAAGCCTGCCAGCTATTTTATATCAATAAAATATCAATAGCTTCAAGAGATCAAACAAGTGATGTAACGCATATAGTCATATTTTTTTTATAAAGTTTTCTGAGACTAAGCAACTTACATTTGAGCAAATGGGCTGAATATTGTGTCCATGACTTCCCAAGAACAGGAGAGTGTTTATTAAACAAAAATAAGATAAAAACCATCTTTTCGCTACAAATGAACAATCACAAGTGCCTATTGGTTAACAAATGTATCTTCAACTACCTAAAATAGGATCCTACACATTTTATATGTCCAAACGCTGTAGTTTTTACATATTCTTAGTCCAATTTTCTCCATTTAAATAGCCAAATCTGACATATCGTTATTAATTTATGTTAAATTTTTCAAACTTTAAGTATGGCACCTGGGAACGGAAACCATAGAAAGATGACACAGATAAATGTGACAAATAGTAATTAAATATGAGTAATCTGTCTCGGTTTATTATTATAAATGAAACAAATATCCAATTTTTATTTTATTAGTGTAATTATTCTACACTGTATCTGTTCAGGAGTAAAGGCCTCAAACTCTCACCAAGCTGGTTCCACTCTGCATCCGACCTGCGATTCACCTTCACCTCTCCGTCCTCGGCACACTCCAGCTGAGTGAGGAAAGCCTGAGCAGAGAGTGGCGTGTCGGGAGAGTCCTGCGCAAAAGACACCGAGGGTTTGGAGCTGAGGTGTGCGTAGCGCTGCAAGGTGGGACCGACACGAGACAACTCCTCCTCTATGCCTTCGAGGGAGTCCTGCAGGAGGGGAAAGGAGCCCGAGTTAGAGGGCAGGAACGCTGCGTTTGGTGTAGTTCAGGTGTTTTGCCGCAGACATTTCCAGAGCAGGCCTCTGTGTCTTCAGCCGACTGAAGCTGCTGGATGTCGGAGTAGAGCTGAAGCAGTTTCAACTGGGAGGAGCAGAGCTGGAGTAGTGATGCTTCCACCTCATCTGCATCTGTCAGACAGAAATACAAGCTTTGTTTTATTTTAAACAGATTTTAATTGAGATATGCTTAATTTTACCATTTGTTCACAGAACACTTTTATCAGAGGGATGTTTGTCACGCTACCTTGTTGCTTCAAAGCATCATGTAAGGCACGAGTAACGTTAGTTAGACAAGAGACTGGAGCTTTCCTGTTTGACAGCAGAGACTCCAAAGCCTAAAGGGAATCCAGAGAGAAGATTAAGGATAATAACTATAAAAAATACAAATAATCATATGATTACACTTTGATTTTTTAATCTACAAACCTGCTTCTTAATGGCAGGATGTTTGATTTCCAACAAGACACCTTTTGCTTCTCTCTCCAAGGAATCTGCAAACCAACCAGAAGAAACCATGTGAGGAACAGTTCAGCGTCTCTGGGTCTTCACTCTGCTCCCAGTCACATGTCCATTACCAGAGTCCATGTCTCTAGTCTTCAGCACAGCGCTCAGTCTCTTCAGCAGGTGCATGTCTCTGGCACGCTCATTCTTTTTATCACTGAAATAAAGAGACCGAGATGGCTGACAGGGTAAGCTGTCATAGCTTTTCATTATAAAAATAAACTAAGTTTTAGGTCTTCTCAAGTCGTGATAGCTTGAGAAGATCTCAAACATAATAGACTAATGTGACGTGTACGTGTCCAGATAGTAGCTGATATCTCTTTGCGACATTTGATCAACAGCCCCTGCTTTGTTCCAACCTGAGCGCCAGATGGAAGGGGATGTTGATGGTCCTCAGAGCTCCGGTGGTGGGATCCAGCAGACACACCTGCTGCGTGTGGAGCTGCCAGCCCTGACTGGTCACACTGTTTACCCCCATCAGATGGTAGCCGGCATAAAGCAGCCTAACAGAAAATCAAGTCCACATCTACTTTAAGTCACATCTACTTTAACCTCAGATTTGGTCGAAGTAAACAGATGAAGTGTACCTGCAGTGTTTGCCTACAGTGAATGCACCGACTCGAGGACCCCGCTGCATGGCCCACACCTCCAGGATCCCCCGACGAGGGGCATAGATGACGAGGAAGAGGGCGTGGCGTCTAGGGAGGGAGGCAGAGGGCGAGAATTCCCGATCAACACGCTCCTCCTGAACTTGCAGCCACCCCAGCTGGGCGTCTCTGTAGCCTGTCATCCAGACCAAATAAACATCTTTACATGGTCACGTTAGTTCACTTAAAGATGGAATGGAGAACATCTTGATTCTCTTCATGTTGGGCATCCCCTGTGTTGGCTTCTCGTCTTACCTTTCCACATGCGGATGGCGACACCCCTTGCCAGGTCCAGCAGCGTCACTCTACCAAAGTCATCCGTGACTCCAGCAAGCGTGTTGCAAGGCGACAGACATATGGACTCACCGTGGCGCCGGGAATCTGGCAGACCAAATCTGGAAGTCCAGGTTGTCAGGTTTAAGGACAAAGAAAATATCAACATGATTATCTTCCAGATATTATGAACAGTACCTGATCCCTAAAGGGGTCGCCGGCTCCACTTTAGGTTTCTGTTTCTGAGCTGCTTCCTCTTCATTCTTGCTCTTGTTCCACCCTAACCACCCACTGAGAGCAGAATGGCAAGAGCACAAAACAATACAACAAACAGAGGAGTTAATTAAAGCACTATTAGAAACAGGAAAAGAGGCAAAACTTACTACTCATAAAGAGAATCCAATCAGAATCATATTATAACTTGATGGTTTTGTGTTTCTAAACACGCTCTTTACTTTTTAAATTAATATTCTGGACACTATCTACATTGAGTTATTTTTGCCTTGTGCATCATTTTCTCGCTACTTCATTGTGTCAGGATTCTTTTTGTGCAGCTTTGATGCAAATGTTGCTCGCAGATCTCCGAACCTGGCAGCGTTGAAGAGGGCTGAGGTGAGTTTGCTGGCCACAGCCAGAGCCACGTGGGACAGCAGAGGCTGAGAGTTTCCCTACAGACACACACAGAGATCGTCGCATACAGCTTTCCACAGAACAGACAATTACACAGCTTTACCGCTTATTTACTCTCCTCACACACACCTCCACTGCGTAGTAAAATCCAGCATACGGCCCAGTCCCTACAGTCACAAACTGGCTCATGGCAGGAGGGCTTCCCTTAACCGATGCATGAAACCCCCCCAATATGGACGCATTCTTCATTTGGTCAAAAACACATAGTGTCATCACACCTGCAACCAGAGGACAGAAGTAATTGCACAGTTAAAGTCATTAACACAAAGTAGAGCAGAATACTTAAATGGAGGAAGATTTCATCACTGTAATAGAAGCTGGTCAGCTGTGATGGGAGGACAGATGGAAATTAAAAACAGATTGTTCAAGGAGGAAAATCTGATCTATGAAGGAAAAGACTTAAGACTAGAGAAGAATTTCACCTTCTAGGAAAACAACTTTAAGCTTACAGCAAGATCAAGAGCAAGATCGTTTTGCTCTGTCCCATAAAATCCTGAGGTTCAGGACTTTAATGTGAAAATGTGAAAAAGTTCAAGCTTTACCAAGAGGAGAACAATTACATAAGCCTCTTATGCTTGTAGTTAAAATGCTTAAGGAACTTGTTTTAATATTTTGAAGGCACAACAATCCAGAAAATAAAGGCAGATTGTGAGAAATCCACTCATAACTGTTATAAAAAATATCTTACCCACACTGCTGTGGTCCACAATGGTGTCCATCTCCTGCAGACCCCACTTCTTATAGGCCAAAGGAGGAGGTGGGACAACATCACTTCCTGCTGCTGCAGCTGCACAGTGAGAGACAGTAACACCTTCAGCTCAATGTTTTAAACATTTCTACTAACTGACATGGTGTGGCAAACACACTTCCATTTAAAGCCCTCAAAGCTTTATTAAAAAAAGACATAATAGAAGAAAAACTTCTGCCGTTTAATAAAAAAAACACAGAGGAGAAGATTCTTTGCTAGGAGACTCACAGCTGCTAACCACTCAGCAGGTGAACGTACGCTCATAGTTTTGCTGTACTTCATGACTCCAAATACAAGAATCACTCAAGGCCTTTCTTTCAGTATCAAGCTCCTTCTTAATAGATCAAATGATTCCTTCAGACAGGATGCAAGCTGAAGGAGATCAATTAAGGCCCTAAACATCTGCATTGCAGCTACTAGAAGCACTGATCCTCAGAGCACTATGAGCTAAAATCCCAACAGCAGATCTTTACATAGCAAAAAGCTGCTAACCTGAACGCATTAGAAGAACAATTATGCCTCAGCTGTACCTGAAAGTCTCGTAGCAATCACTACGTCCACCCAGCCAGCAAGAAAAACACATCTCCGATTATCTCTGAGGAACAATTAGCACCGCGTGAGAGGCCTCCCTGCTATGCGTAATAAGTAAAGCAGCTGTACCTCTCGCCACCTGATTCCTGCAGGCCCGCAGTGACTGAAAGAGGCTGAAGCCGTCGATGGTGACCAGAGCGGCAGGATAAAGGATGCTGAGCTCCTCGTGCTGCAGAGAGAGATTATCCATTAGCTCATAACTAACACTTCAACCGCGGGATTGTGAAACGTGTCAGCTGCGACTGATGCATTTGGGTTTCCCTTTTACCTGCTCCGTGACTCCAGGATGACGAGGGATTTCGTAGGTGCGACATTTGAGCCGCAGAACAGGGTCCACGTGTAGGAGCTGGGCCAGGAGAAGAACCCCGCTCTGATTTGATAATAAAACAGGAAAAAACACCGTTACCCAGACTGTCTGTGACTACAGGAGTTGGGGATGCAGAAGCTAAAGAGTACCTCTGTGTAGAAGCGGACATAACCAGATGTGAAGCCCACAACTATGCAGGTCCAGTCAGGCCTTCCTGTGGAGCTCCTGTAGTCCAGAAATATGCAGTTATGATATGGTCATTACGTTCTTCTAAAACTTGCAAGTAGGTAATTCTCACCTCTTCTGACTGGCCAGGGGAATAGCAATGACACTGCTGACATTCTCTCTGAAGAGAAACACATTCCTCTGTGGATTACTATTACTTCTCCTGTCATCAGCTGATCTATAGTCAGTTTTGACCTTTACTCACCCTTCTTCTGTGCAGAGGTGTCCACTCCAGGTCACTGCCAAGGTCATCTCCTCTCTGCCACTGTCACTTGTGCGCCACTTTGCTGGAAGAAACCAAACCCTGAAATTAAATTACAGTGCTCCCAATAAAGACTACAGAGAACTGTGTTTGTGTGAAAGTTTTAATTTCTGACCTGAGAGGAAAGCAGCTTTCTGTTCTCGAGCCACAACCAGCAGGTCGGCGCAGGGCGACAAGGACACAACGCAGTCTTGAAGCCATGGCTGGTTCTGTCCCGATGGCTCCTCCTCTGTCTGCAGAGGACAGCCGGTGTTTGGACATGAAGGAGAATACTATCTTACAGTTGTAAGTGTTTCTGTGTGCAATTTGAAACATTTTCAGTTATTTCTCTTTAAATAATTAATATTTACTCCCTCTATGTCTCAGTTTTTTCTGGACCTAAATACATAAGAGCAAAACAGAGACAAAAAAAAAAGCACAGACCTTGGTGGAAGAAGCAGACTCTTCCTCCTTATTTTCATTGTTATCCCATCCTGATTCCCAGTCAGAGGTATCCCAGGAAAGCTCGTTTTCTGCTGAGAAACACGAGAGACGACCTCAAGTCTGGATTATCCAGTAATCAATTCAAAGCAATAACTTAACAGTAATAAACAGAAAAACTCTCAATGGAAAAAACTCTCACATGTTCACATTTAGAGCGAGAAAACTAAAAAGATTAACATGGCAGAATAGACGCTTAAAACAATCTACAGTAGGTTCCATAAATTCAATTTGAATGTGTTGTTTACAGTGAAATCTCTCGTTGCATGATAGATTTCTTAGAAGAACTGCAAACAGCTTCTTACGTAGAGAATATTAAAAGCCACAGGATCTCTATGAGACATCTGCATAAAGCTCGGACAAAAGGAGGGCCATGTTTTTCTGTGTTAGGACGCTGGTAACACATGGATGAACCACACCAGGCGACATTAATTCAGATATTCCTCAGTATCTAACAAAACAATCAAACCTATGTCATTGATTCCATCAGGACAAACATTTCCTTGGGAACATTTCGGACTCATGCTCCCTCATAGCTACATTAAGCTAACAGGACTCCATACAACCGTTTCATTGCTGCTGGAGCATCTCCATCAACATTTAGCACAGTTAAGCTCACCTGTTTGAGTCTTCTCTTCAACCGACTCTTTACTCTGGTTCTGGAACAAGAAGTCCCGGACTGTTTTGAGCTCTTGGAGCCGACAAAACTCAAACAAGCTGCAGGACATCCCTCTCCCGTCCTGTCCTGTCAGGAACCGAAAAGAAGTCGAGGAAGAGAGTCAGTTAGCTTTCCCTGCTAACAGTTCAGAAGAGAAGCGCTGCTTTTGTCAACTTACGTCTCCGAATTTAACTTTACGACACTTTGTTATCTACAAAATCCTCCGTATTAAACTTGCACAAGCTCTTAGACAAATATCAATAACTGTCTGCTGGCTTTATTTTGCCCATTATCTACTGCTTCCACCCAAATCTGTTGATGACACATCATTAGCATAACAACACATTTCTGTTTCCGGGTTGGGGCTGTGCAGGAGATTTTCAAAATAAAACGTTGATGAGAAACGCTTGTCTGTACATTAAAAGTCAAAACACGCAGACCGGTCGGGAAAATGTCTAGAACTCAGTGGTAAATAATAAAAACAACTTAATCTTGTTTCAGGTCTGAGGTTTCAAAGTTTTTCAAAGTTTTTTCAGGTCCATCGATTATGTTCAGTGACTACTAGAATTAGCAATTAATTAATTAATTAATTCAAAGAAAATGTTTTGGGTTTTTTTAAATTTTATTTTATTTTTCTACTTTCTACTCAGACAACTGTAACAGCAACGAGTTCAATATAGGAGGTTGCCAAATAGGCTTTCTGTATCTATGAAATGTTTAACAAGAATCAATTTTCAAGTAGCAGTAAGTATGATAATTATTTCTAAAAGAAAATATTGCTTCAAAGTCAAACTCAGATAAGTGTCACTGAACACACATGTCCATGGAAACTGACATGGTTTGCATTTCAGTTCCCAAGGACTGAGAGGTTTGCATTTCTTCTCTAGAGGGCGGTAGAACAACGATTTTGCAGGCGTGTAAATTCAATTATTATTATTATTTTATATAAAAAAAATGATTTGAAAAATTTTCTCTGATGATTTACTATTTAATGAGTAACATGACTGGGGAAAAAAAGTTAGTAAAAAAAAAATCAACCCTTTTTCAGAGAATTAGCCACTCAGAAGATTACCTATGGAGACTGTCAAAATTGAGTTGTTAATTAATGAACTCAGTTACACTGTTGTTCAGCAGTTTGCTTCACACTTTCATGAACCCAACAATGATTCAAAGAATCAATTTCTAATTTGATAATGGCACATTACATGGGTAAATTAATATAAAAGCCTATATTATTTTGAAAAAGCTAATAAAAATATTTCTTTTGATTTTTCTATTATGGCACACAACAGTGTGACACTGTTTGGAAGTGTTAAAGCAGGGTTTTAAAAATATTTTTAACAAACTTGTTTGTTTGAATAATTCTGCCAATTGCTGCCAAGACTTTGAGGTGAGTCTTGGCAGCAATACTTATTGCCAACTTGGAGATGTTGGAGTGTTGTCTCTTATAATGTTGATCCCATGATGTTATACCTATTGGTGCATGATACTTTGTGCAGATGTCTTTGAAGAACACAAAAGAACTCTTCTAATGTGAAGTTTGGACTTTCGTAACCCCCAAAAGCCTGTTGCTCTTTGTGATTCAAAGGTCACCGTTACTACTTTCCATCCTGAAAACCCAATGTTGTAAACATGAGCAGCTGCTTTTGGTATTGTTAAACACTGCTCCACATCTTTCTTTCCCATCCTTTCTTAAAAAAGCAATGGGCAACCTGCCAGTGTATTCCTTACGTATTCATTTACAAACCTACGGAGCGCTTGCAAACACACACAAACACACACATGCACTGAGAGTACACACGACCACACAAACACACCCTCTGGGGGGTGCCCAAAAGTTTCCGATGCGGAAGGCCGGACATAGAAACTCAGGAAACAATTGGGTGTCAGAGAGGTCCTTGGACTCGTCACGTGTCCTCATCCTGTGCCGCTGCTTATTGAAGTGTTGACGTTTCTTCTGTTTTACGGGCCCAGGCAACAACTCTCCATCTGGTTCCCCCTCTTCCTTTGTTGACAAGAAAACGAGTTGGCATGCTTGGCTGCAAGATAGATGCATCACTGGCACACAAAAAGGGATGGCATTGATTTGTTCAAACTTACTGGGAGTCAAAAGACCTTGGGTTTTGTTTTGCAGGTTTCCAGACAAGATGTGACGTCAGAAGGATCCAGGTAGACCAAAAGCATATGGGGCCTCGTAAAGGTATTTATACCCTTCAACTTTTGTGCAATTTGTTGCATTTTACTCACAATCTTCAATGCATGTATCTTCAATGTACTGATGTGATAGACCAACATAAACTAGCACATTCGTGTGAAGTGACAGAAAAAATATATTTTATTTTTTACAAATAAAACACAGTTAGTCTGAGTGTAGTAGAGAGGTCATTTGTTTACAGGCCTCTCAACAGTGATTTCCTCAAATAAATTCCAGTGCAACCAATTGCCTAGAAAAGCTGCTCAATTAGTAGACAGAATGAAGACCAAATTACACACCAGACGGGTCAGGGAGAAAGATGTGGAGATGTTTAAGATACTCAGATATAGCTTTCCACCTTATAAGAACAGGCCAAGCAAGAAGAACACGCATCAGATAATTCAAGAGGAGCTGCTGAGATTACGCAGCTCAGGTGGGAGACAGTATTTGTCATGCACTATACCAACTTGGCTGTTGGGAAAGTACAGTGAAAAAAAAAACTATGTTGAATTAAAAGCTAAAAATAAGTCCTGTTTGTGTCACAGGTCTGAGATATGCAGCGATACAGCAGTTTTTTTTTGACTAAACAGGTTAGATAAGCTGACAGGGCATCACTCTGGTGCTGCTGCATTGGCTGTAAAATATCTTTATCACTTTAACGAGTTAAATAGCATATTCCTCCTGTTGATTGTAAAGAGTGCCACACCTAAAAAGATAAGTATTAAAGCTGAAATGACAAAGTCCGTGAAGACTTTTAACTTTTTGGTGTTCAAAAACACATCAGCATACAGGTGGAAATACTTCATATCGCAATTTTAAAGAGAATCATCTTTAAAATGTGACCTCATCTTTTGTATCTGCCACGCTTGTATATTTTCACGAGCTGTGTAGAGAAATAATGGGACATGTAGAAGAGACAACACTGGTTAGATGTGCCAGAAACTTAGCTTTTTGTCTCACGTACAAAACACTGGTGGGGGAAATTATCACTGCACCTCACCCAGGCTAGGACACAACAGGAAACAACACAATTATTTTCTGGGGATACTTTTCGAAACATGTAATGTTAAAAGCTCAAATATCTACACCAACGTTTACTTGAGAATCCACAGCAAAATCTGAAAATTTATGTTCACTGATGATCCAACATGTCACCATTTTAAAGCTATTCTTGTATCCATTATGAATACTTCACTATTATACACAACTTTGTATTGCCGTTTTCCGAGTTAAATCCTAATAAAATAGACTTATGTTGATGGGTGTTCCATAAAAAATGCAACATTCAAAAGATGTAAACACTTTTGCCTAATAAATCTCTACAAATAGCAGTGCATAGAGTATGTGATTAAATTCTTCAAGTTATGATTTCAGCAGTGTGAAAACAAGCACTTGAGAACACCTTGTTGTCTTCCTACCGTCTTGCAGAAATTTTAAAGGAAGAGGTAGAAAGTGGATGTTTTTCTTTTTAGGTAACAGCTGACATAATCAGTCCCTGTCAAGTGAGCAGGGAAGATACTCCCCAGTGGAAACACATTTGGAGTAAAGCTTTGATGCACCGACAATCAAAAGTAGGAATTTAAAATAAAACCGTCAGGAAGTTTGTTTTTTGGACTATTGTCACATGTGGTCGTAAGATGATGTTCTCCCTTTGGTTCATGATTACTGGCTGTACTTTCCTGTTCGACATGTGCGTGCAATATTTCAGCAGCTCATCACACTTTGGCTCAATTTTCCATGTTGCACCTATGTCACTGATTTTTCTGCTTTCAAGCACGATTTGCACTTGTAATTTAGGTTTGCCTTTTCTGTTATCCATTTAGTATCTGTGTTTTTTTTCCAATATGAAACCTTGTAATCAGTGTTGTGCTTGGGGTAACATTGGATCCAAAGTTCACACGTAAATGTTTTATGGCAAATAAAATCTGATCTATGTTCTTGCAGTAACTGCAGGGTCATGTTTGCATGTTAAGAAACTGAACCATTTTCACATAATATTGCAAAGTTAGCAAATGTTATTGCAGTTTTAGTGATAGACAAGATGCTATCACAATAGAAGAGGAGGAACAGTATCTCTAAATCTCTGACCCTGATGTAAATCCTGCAACCAAACCAAATAATCACTGCTGACATGTTAAATTTGTCAGAAATGTTGTGAAGCTGTAGAAACAAGATTCTTTGCTCCTGCTACATCTGTGGCTATTGCAGAATAATATGAGGCCTTCAAAGCCAGGAGAAAAAAACAAAAACGTGTTGTTCCCTCAGCAAGCTTATTATTTCAAAGAAATATTTCAATCGTTTCTTCAGGTCTGATCTCAGATACTGTCTCTGATTATTTCAAGGTGAAACAAGAGTTGTTCTGAAACTTTCAGTCATTACGGGTCTCATTAAAAATGTCCATATAAAGTATTCCTCAATGATCAAGGCTCTGGGACTGTTTTACAGGAGGATTTCTAATATTTTGAATGTCTCTTTTAATCTTTCTTTAATCAGGCTTATACAGAACCAGTCAAGGAGTACACAGCAAATCTCAGTAAGGTGCAATGACCTGGCCCCATGTCCATAATACTTCTCTAAAGTACCTTCTGACTCAGTTTCAGTATTCAATCTTCTTAGGAGATAATCTGTCCACCTCCCACATCTTAACCTGACAATATTTTCTCACACTGGCTCAGATAAATTCTTAAATTCTTTCATTGTGAGAACATATCTTGTCTCTTTAAATGATTCAACAGATCTGCCAAATTAAGCTGTTGGCTCTGGCAAGGCAATTCCAAACCTTTTCATTTACTGTCAGACTTCACGTTGGATGATAGTGATTCAGATTTACTATGATGCCAGTGTCAATCGATAATTCTTGTTGGAAATTCCTGAAAACTCCTTCAGTGCTGCTGTTGGTCTATTGGCAGCCTCCCTGACCACGCTCATCATTTCATCACGTTTGGAGAAATGTCCAGTTTTTGTAACTTTGTCAATGTTGTTTCATATTATCTCCCCTTTCTGTTGATTGCCTTTGTTTTACACAGAGGAGTGAATGTTTTCCCTGACTGATACTGTTGTACACTGAGATTGTTTGGGTTATTGGTGACCTTTCTTGATGAATAATGCAATAGAGGTTCAAAATTCAAATTAGATTCACAAAAATTGCTGCCAGTTA